CTCAACGACTGTTTATCGAACTTTCCAGAAGGTGCCTTTTTCTCCCTCAGTTCATTAGCTGGTACTTTCTTAGCATTCGCAAACAGTCTAGCCAGATGATCGGCAGGATCCTCATCGTCTTTGGCTTCTTTATCTTTTGCTGCATCCTTGCCACCACTGAGAAATAACCATCTTTGATCCAAAAAAAGAGGGAAGTATGTTTACCTTTCACCCCTCCCTTTCTCTTTCTCATCCAAAGCGCTGGTCCGAGAGGATCTCGGACCCCACCCACGAGAACTATTTTTAATTTCAAGGACACCTCCCTTCCGCTCAGCGTTGGAAGCCTCATAGCGATCAAAGCCAGATCGACCCGCGCGACGTCTTTCCTGCAAAAAGAAGTGGGCCTTAGTCTTACACACTAGTATCCAAAGTGCTTACCGCTTTACGAAGTGCTTTTGCCTCCATTTCCTTGATTATGTACTGAGTAAGTGGAGTGGGCTGTACCGCAGAAGCTCAAAATTCACCACTGATTACTTCAACAAAGAAAACTACAAAAAACTTTCTTCCAAAGACTGAAGGCTTTGCATAGTGTGATGATTTGCTATTCAAGCGTAAACCTAAGCGCTTACCTTTAGCATCCAGTCTGAGCTGCTGAGCATGCAGCAACTGTTCATCGAGTGAGAGCCTAGCCATTTCGTACTCTACTTCCAAATCATGCATAAACTGCTTGTATTCAACTTCTATGAAGAAACTAATTAATTCGTAACTATCACAAGAAGTGGACTGTCTCACCATTTTCTATAGTGCCACATTTTGGATCCTTAGCGACATCACTTCTTGGCTTACGTGGAATACGATCATTTGCCGTCAGTTCCACCATAGCTATTGAATGGTTACCTAGAGCAGAAATCCAATATTCAAACTATAGTACTCGTGACTCACCATTGGAATCTGTAAATCGGTAACCATTCCATTTACGGCTAAATTCTAGCACTTCTGAATTCTTAACAAATGTGAAGTAACACCGAGAGAACGCGTATGGTTCCATACTGAAAGATACGCCATTATAAGGAGAAGCATTGACACAGCAATACATATCATATCTATCCAATATATAAGGCTATTTGCTTCTCACAGGGGAAGGATTCTTGATGCCGTGGCCATTCATAATGGTTTGTATACCAAAAAAT